TGACTTTGCTTGTCAGAAGCTGGCTGGGAAGATTACAAATGGGGACCCCGTGGTCCTGGGACACTGCAACTTTAGTAAATATATGCCAGTTGCCAGGTGCCCAAATTTTGATCATGTGACCACAGGGAATGCTGTGTGAGGATTGGCTGTAAATATGTTTTTTTCAGTGCTGTTGTAACTGCCAAAGGTTGCTAAACAAATGGTTGTATGTTGAGGATTAAGAGAGACTGGACCAGTCCCATAACTGGCTAATAAATAACTAAGAAAAGTGTGAAGAGTTGGATAGAGAAGCAGAACAAGATTGACAGAATCCTGGTGAGGACATTTTTATTGGGATCTTGGAATCCTAGGGGACAGTCACTTAAATATGAGCCAGCAATGTGGTGCAGCTGCCAAAAAAGCCAACACAGTCCTAAGCTGCATTAACAGAGGAATAAAATAAAGATCATGTAAAGTGTTAATACCGCTTCATAATGCCTTGGTCAAACCATACTTGGAATACTGCATCAAGTTTTGGTCGCCACAAGGTAAAGATGTTGAGACTCTAGAATGAGTGCAGAGAAGAGCAACAAAGATGATTAGGGGACCGGAGGCTAAAAAAGAATGGTTGCTGGAACTGGGTATGTCTAGTTTAATGAAAAGAAGGACTGGGGGAGACATGATGGCAGTGTTCCAATATCTCAGGGGCTGCCCCAAAGAAGAGGGAGTCAAGCTATTCTCCAAAGCACCTGGGTGTAGGACGAGAAGCAGTGGGTGGGAACTAAGGAGAGAAGCAACCTAGAACTAAGGAGGAATTTCCTGACTGTTAGAACAATTAATCGGTGGAACAACTTGCCTCCAGAAGTTGTGAAGAGATTGGACAATAATTTGTCTGAAATGGTATAGGGTTTCCTGCCTGAGCCGGGGCTGGACTAGAAGACCTCCACAGTCCCTTCCAACTCTTGTCATTCTGTACTCTGTGAATTTACTTTGAGTATAAATTTTAAGGGCCAGATAAATTGCAACCTAAAGTACTATAGAAACTTGCTGCTGGACTGGTAAATCCCTTTATGCGTTATCATTAAGAAACTGAAGAATGGGTGAAATGCCAGTTGATAGGAGAAGAGGAAATATTTTCTGTTGATATCTTCAAAAGAATAAAAAGTATCAGGAAGTCTACACACTAGTTGGCCAGACTCACCATATTTCATTTTTATATTGGGTAAGCCTCTTAAAGGAGAGAATGCCGTAGACATTTGGTATGATAATTAACTAGATCAATATAGCTGGCTTAGAAATTGTATTTGAAGCCTGCTTAGCAATGCTTCCTCATCGGACTAGACTACCAAGTGAGAGGCCACAAGGTTCACCATTGGGCCTTACATTCCTTGCTACTATTAATGACTTGGCTAAAGAGGTGGAAGGAAAGCTAATCAGTTTTGTGGGTTGTACAAAACTGGATAGGATGACTCATGCTTCCAAAATAAAATTAATAATGAGCTGAGTTAGAGAAATAGGAAGAAAATAAGAACATGAAATTTAAGAAGTGCATTCACAGCTGTTTTGCTGTGCTTTCCTCCAGTTTGATGTTGATGGAAACTACACCACACTCAGAAGTATGTCCCTCATTGGCATTTGGGACAGGGCATGCTGTGCTGCAGTCTGCAGAGTTTGTATGTGAAGTGGCATGTAGTGAGGAAGTGGATCCTCAGGAGGGAGGGATGTAGTCCAGGGGAGTAACAGGCAACTCCGCTCAGATATCCTATATGAGAGAAAGAGGGTGAAGACAGCCCTTCGCTAATAGTTCTCAGCGTATACTGCGTATGCAGAGATAGTAGAGTTCTCAGTCTGGCAAGGTCTTTTGTCTATAGGTGTGAAACAATAAATAACTCAATTTGGAAGAATTACCACATATCATTCTTGGGTTTTGGCTTGATAACATATAAGATGCTGTAAGATTCAGTTTCCGCTGACTAAAATTTTTAAAATTACTAACATTGGGAAAACCCACTACCATTGTAAGGTCTGAATACTCTATCCAATCGTGTTCTTCTATTGTTTTCCAAAGGACTAATGATCCATCGCCCTAACAACTACTCTCTTAATTTTAACATAATAGTTGCTTGGATTTTTACAATCCAGAAGTGCAACCCATGTGGTTTTTTTTTTTTAGAGTCAGAGTTCAAGAAAGAGATTCTGATATTCATGAGAGATATTGGGCATATCCACACAATTTCTCCAGAACAAATAGTTAATCTGCCAACTAGCTGATCTAGTGATCATTAGATTTGATTTATTCTCCATAGCACCTGAGGGCAGGACAAGCATATTAGAGGTAGATTCAATTTGGAAATGAGGCATTTCCTGACGGTGAGAACGATTAATCAATGGGATAGCTTGCTTCCTAGAGCTGTGGGTGTTCCATCATTGAAGGTTTTCAAGAAAAAAATAGACAACCATTTGTCCAGGATGATGTAAGGACTCCTGCCTTGGGCAGGGTATTGGACTGAAACAGGGACTAAGAAATGGTGATCCAAGAACCTTATCTGAAACTAAGTTCAGTGAAGAAGGATTGAAGGATCTGGCTTGAATGTACAGCCACGAGAAGACTGAGGGGAAACGTGAGGTGTAGTCTTATACGTGAGGTGTAGTCTGAGGGGTAGTCTTATTCATTTTACTTTATTCTATTGAATTTGAAATCTCAATTATTCTGAGCAGCTTACAATTAAAAGAAAAGAAATAAGTAAAGGAAAAAGAAACTACAGCTGACTAGAAGACCAACTCTATAATAGATTTAAGTCACAGGAAGGCACATTCTAATGGAAGGCTAATGGTAAGAACAATTTGACAGTAGAAGCTGTTACCTAGAGAAATGGTGGACTCCCTCTCTTTGGATGAGAGGCGGGAGAGCCAGTGGTCACAGCTACTCGATTTTCAATTCTTGTTCAGAGCTGGGAGTTGGCCTCTGTGGCTAAATGGCTCCTTCTAACTTTTACAGGAGTGATATTAATGTGCTGTGAGAAACCCATTCGTAGCACACAGGGCATGCTGCTTGAGTTGCAGCATCCAGCTTGGCCTCGCAGAAGCAAAATTGAGAACATTAAATTGCTTCCACTTTTATTTCTGCCATAGTAAGTCAGAGCTGTAACTGGCTGGCCGGCCACAGCCTACTGCTGGAAGAGGTAAATGAACTCACGGTGGGCATTTTAAGGTCCCCTTGCCCTGTCTGTCTGACTTCCTGACGAGCTTTTTTGTGGAAATGATTATTTTGAAAACAGGGCTGTGACTTCCAGTGTGATAAAAGCAGCAGGGGCATTGAAGCACTTAGGCACCCTGCTTCCATGGCACTATCCTTGGTAATAAAGAATGACAAGAGAGAAACAGAGAAATTCAAGCAGATTTGTTGCCAGGTAGAGAAGAAAAGAATACAGTATGCTTGGGCGTATGAGCTGAATCCTTCAGCTATGATGAAAATTATAATTTCTGTCAGTTGAATTTACCACAGATGTGTGTTTTTTTTTTCTGTTTTAAAAATATATGCTGGCCAAGAAAAAACAGCTTTAAATATTTACAGGCAACCATGTAAAGCTGATGAAAAAATAAATATTTATAAAGAGCTCATTTTGTTGCAATATTATGGATTCAAGGCATTGTTTTGTGGATTTTCTTTTTTGTAGACGTATTGTTTTTATTTGCAACGTTGTCGGTATGTGTGTATGTGCTATTTGATGTAGATGGCTCAGAGTTGCAATTATGCGGGTTGGGTAGCTGTATACTGTAATTCTAATAAACACAACAAATTTAATAGGATGTTAAAAAGAATTTTACCTCATGCAGATACAGAACCCAGCAATTTAGTGTTGATTTAAATGTAATCCTAAATCATGGATGTGATTGTTAAAGATGTTGCAGAGCCACAGAACCTAGCATGGTTCAAAATAGGTTGGGACTGCTGGATGTTAGTTCCCTATTCCTACTCCAAAGCATGGCATAATCAAGTAAATTGAAACCAAGCTCAACACCACATAAACTCATTGAGACAGATTGCACATTTCTGATATTAAAAAAAAAAAGTCTAGGATATCTCAGCAAGTGAGTCCTCTTGTATGTTTTAAGACAGTGGCCCCCAACCTTTTGGGCATCAAGAATTGATTCCATGAAGAAAGGTTTTTTTCCCCGTGGACCGGAGGGTCATGGTTTTGCATATTGCCTTCATCCTCCGGATTGGGCTTCACTTGTTTGCACGGCCTGGTTGCTGGCATGCCGTGTCCTGGTGCCAGTCCATGGACCGGGGGTTGGGGACCCGTTTTAACATTTTTTCTCGTTCCTACATGTCTGGAATACCTGATCAGTACCACAAGAAGCAGGCCTTTTAGCACATCTGCTTCCAAGTGATTAATTTACCTCCTTATCTTAATCTGCAAGAGAAGATTCCATAAATAAGTTGTTTTATCATTCCTTTAGGATTTTTTTTTACAGATTCTATTTTTATTATAAGTTTTTAATTATTAAATTTAATTCTACCCAATTGATGCGTCTCTTTAAACATGTTCTATTGCCTGGTGTAGAATAGAAGTCTCACAAGTAGTATGTATATTATTTAATACTCTACATTTTAATAGAGGGTTTTTTTAAAAAAAAAAACCTGAAGAGAAATTAAAACAACTCCAGTGTATTATTAGAAGAGAGGTCCATGCTGAATTTCTTCTTTTCTTTCTTAATAGCATAGCATAAGAGAACCAAGCGTCTTAGATGATAATACCATATTTTCTTGGGCATTAAGTGTTATTGGGATCAGTTGGGCCTAACTCCTTGCTGCATTAAAAATTCAACAAACATAATTTGAATTGCCAGCCAGCTAATGAGCATTGCTCCCTATAAACAAGTTAACTGATTAAATGTCTGAAGGAAGCCCTGTTAATGATCCTTGGTATTAACAGCAATGATGAGTGAATATGTATTTTGAGAATAGAGAATTGGAAAATACACCTTGCCTTTTCTATGTTCCTTTTTCCCCCCAGTCCCGTGAAAGTAAGTTTGATAGGAGCAGTGCTCTTCACAATGCAGTGCAACTTTTATCTTCCAATAACAAAGAACAATCTCATGTTGCTTTATACCATGTTTTTGGTGGTCACAAAGGTAAGTTTTTCTGGTTTCTATGGAAGTGTGTTCAACATACTTTTTATCATGTTACAATAATATCTATTAGGCACATGCATGTGGCAGATATGATAGTTTGAACATTAAATAATAATACTAATATGATCCTTTCCAGCTTTGATTGTATATGTCAGCCTTTTTCTGTCCGGTACCCTCCAGATGTGTTGAACTGTAGCTGTCATCATTCTAGTTCACATATATTTTCCGCATCTGTCTTCTATTAGGACCTAAAGAATAAAAGGGAAACCAGTCAGGAACGTGTGAGAAAATCATCACTTCCATCACTTTAATTTGAGACAATTGGGCATTCTAGGGAGTGGTTCACAGATGTATTGTAGGATTATTGCACACTATTTCTGTTCACTGCCAAACCAACTATATCTCCCCCTAATGGCAATTCATGTGATTGTCATATCTTGGCTTTGTTTTTATCATTACAACTGGGATCCCTGTGACAACATCTGCTAAAGATTGGGCTAGCTTTTCCATATGCATGAACAGTGCCCCTCTGTAAATGTACTTTACTTTTGTATTGGACTGTACCACAAGGATTGACCACTTGACCACAAGCCAAGGTTGGACAGAATCCATTTTATGCATATTTCCTTTTGCCAGAATCAGGTCATGTTCCCCACCACCACCCGGTCCCCCTCAACCGTTATTTATCTTCTTTTCCTTGGAAAGGCAGAACTAATAGGGAAATGTTTAAAATTCCTCCTTGGGAAGAAAATACCTTCAATACCAGAATGTATCATTAGCGTGTCTGCTTCTTCGTTCATTCCACCAGCTCAACAGAACGTTGAAAAGAAATTATGTCAAGGGAGTCAGAACTCTTGTCTATCAGCAGGATAAATTTTGGAAAACCAAACAGAATGGGCCCCAATTTAGCACTGAGGAAGAAACTGGCAAAAGAAAGACCATTTTTGAAAAGATGACTTGAGAACTCAGGGAAAATTATTCCGGAATTAATTTGTCCAAAATCATTATGGGAGAGGCAAGTGAGCAGTGGCTGAAAATGTTGCTGACTGCTTTAATCTAAACCTTTCTTTTGTCTTTTTCCTAAACAAGTGATCCAGAGTATTCAATGTGCCTTCCAGTGTGCACATATACCCAAATACAAGTTTGTATATGACATAAGGGAAGAGCAAAGGAACACAACCACCCACATTACTTTGTTACACAGGAGAAAATATAGTTTCTTCCTGTGGTTTATTGCTGCCAAAAAGATGGGAAAGAATTCCAGAACTGTACTCTGTGTGCTTTCCCCACTTTGTTTATTAAAACTCTGCTGAATTTCAAGAAAAGTGGGGGTAAAAGTATTATAATAAATACACTGGTCACTTTAATTGGCCCAAAGGTTTGCATTGAGTTGTTGGAAAGGTATTATTTAGGCTGGCTTTATCCAGTTTTAGTTGCAGAGCTGATGCCCTTGCTGTGTGTTTTCTTGCAGATAAACATGATGGTGACAGGATGCACAACTTCTCCATTTGCTTCCCTGGAGGAAACAATGGGTCGCCTCTTTTTTGGCCAGAAGAAGCCAACTGATTCACAAGCTGTGAATGAGATCAAAGGACCCTTAAATGGCATCTCCTCACCCTGTGCCTGTCTTCTTGATGGAGAGAAGAGTGAGGCAGTCCAAAAGAAGCATTCAAAGAAAACTGAATAAGAACCTCAACAGTGCTGAGGACAGCCAAAACGGCTTGCTTGTGTGTGCCCATAAAAATGTAGTATTTCTCTTTCTTTCCAAATGATGTGAAATGACAATTGTGCATGAGGTAATTTCTGTGACAAGAGGATAGCTGCACTGGTCCTTCAGAGAAGTTTTCAGCACAAACAACAGTTCAGTGAAGCTCTTATATTGCCCATGAACTGCTCTGATTGTTTACGGCAGCAGTTCCTGTCCTGCTGTCATTTGGACATTTTAGGATGACAGTTCCCATAATTTTTAGCCACCACAGCCCTGAGGGTACCAGATGAGAGAAAGCTTGACTAATTCCTGCCCTATGGTCTGTGTAGCTTCCGAAGTTGGCTATGTTTTTTAAACTAAAAGTCATAGTTGAATAAGATGCATCATGTCAATTGTTTTTCTAATTAAATTTATTCAGTTTAGATGGCTGACCGTCTCACTATAGTGACTGGGAAACTAACCATATTTACAATCAAAATACAAACAACACAAAGCATCACAGAACATAAAAGAATGATAAAGATACTGTGATCAAATACTGTGAGTTTACTCATTTTTAATCGTTTTTTATTTAAGAAAATAATGCCTAACATAAAATTTGTCAAAGTATTTTCTCCCTTTTTTTCTCATAGTGGCAATACGTAAGAACCAGATTTTAGAGTATGGTTCATCCAAAGTTGGGCACTTTTAAAAAGCAATGGGAGAGGCTTCACAATATGTATGTTTGGTCTGTATGTTTCTTATTGCTTCCTTATGACTGAACTGATACGTTTTTCTTTGACAAAATATGCTCTTTCAATATTTCAATTTACAAATTTTTTTTTTAGGGTTTGTGGGATGTATACTTTTCTGATATTTGTACCTGTTAATTTTAGATATACTAATGCCCTGATTTGGAAGCACAAATTCTTAAGTGTTTGCACTTGGCTTGCATCACAAACTAATTTATATATTTTTCCACCAATTTTTCATACTAAATTTTAAAATGTTTGGATGTTAAATGATTTGTAGATACCTCTGCTGGATTCTTGTGCAGGGCAATGACATTTTCTTGAGACCAAAATTCATATGCAATGTAACTTTGAGCCACTCTTTATAATTTTGAAAATGAGTATTATTTGGAATCTTATCTGAGATTAAAAAAAAGTCAAGACAGGGATTTACAGCTCACCTGCCAGGAAGGTTGGTGAGAATTGCAGGGAAATCTCCTTTTCGCTGATCACCTAACAGCCTATAATGCACAGTCAGTGGCCTACCCTTGTCTCAATCAAGCTGCCTCCATTTCTTTGGTTAATATTTTTCATAAGCATTTTCAGGCTAACATTTGTAATCTTTTATAAACTACTAAAAATTTATATCCAGGTTAAAAATGAAACAGAAAATGGATTTTTTAAAAAAAGAATAACAACTATTTGTCATATCATTTAGGGCAGTTTTCACTCTAGATCTTCTATTGTAGAAGATTAGATCAAGAATGCCCAAAAAGTGAATTAAAATGTCCTTGTAGTGTTATTTTGAACTTGGTTTGTACTGTACATACTTGGAAAATACTTGAGTTGGACGCCAGCAGCCAATGTGCTTCAGAGGTTTATGAGACTTTTTTTAATGCATGCTGGTAAAATCACTGATGTCTTTGTATGGTTGGGCTGAGCTTTTTGATTGGTATGATTAGTGTTGATGCTTTTTAGTCCAAGATTTTTTTGTGAAATGCCTTTGGTACTCTTGTCAACAGGCTCACAGTAATTACAGTGTAGGCTTTATAGCATACATAAATGTGAAAATGTATTTAAAAATGACTGTAAAATACTTAGAAGATGGTGTGCCTTGCATTTGAATTGAGCATTTTAAAAACCTGCTATTAAACAATGGAAACAGTTTGGCTCTCAGTGTGCTAATAATATAATCAGCAAATACATGGACATGAAAAGTTCAGTGGCTAACACATTCTCCTTTTTCACCCAGAAAAGCCTATGTTCTTTCTCTATAGCAGGGGTCGCCAACCTTTTGGACCTCAGGGACCACCAAACTTGTAATTTTAAATCCCGGGGACCAATAATATGAATTTTGACTGACGGTGGCTTGCTGACAGTGGGAGAGAGAGAGATCTGATCTAACCTCTCTCTCTCCCTCATACACACACAAACACACAGAGGCAGGGGTGGGATTCTAATTTCTTAATAACCGGTTCTTGGGTGTGGCCTAATTTGTGAGTGCAGCTTGTTGGTCATGTGACTGGCTAGGCATGGCTTGTATGTAAGTATTATAAATATTTATGTAAATATTGAATTTTTTATATATAAAAAGAGCAGCTTTTACCCAAAATCAGGCAAAGCAGGCAGGCAGTTGCTCACAGAATCAGATTCACTTAGAGATCTATCTGAGTCTGTCACATAACATTTGCTAGCAAGCAAACTCACAAAATTAACACACAACACACCAGGTATATAAATATTAATTTTTTTATTTACAAAAGAGCAAAAGCAGGCAGGTAGATTGAGTTGCTCACAGATTCACTTAGAGATCTGTGGTTTTGCCATCGGCTAGTTGAGTCTGCACTGCTTTAGTCCTAAGGAAGGTTCGGCTCTGCTTAAAAGCAGAGTTGAAGATTTAAAGATTAGCTAGAAAGCAAGAAATCCAACGATTTCCTGCTTTCTAGCTAATCTAAATCTCCCAGCACAGCAGAACAGCTGATGATCGGAAAAGGGAAAAATAGCAACTTAGCTGGCAAGTTTGCCAGGTAAGGAGTGAGTGGGCAGGGAGGGTTCCCATGGAACATGTGGGTGACGCAGCCTTGTGTTCCCAGGCAGCCTGGTAATTTTTTTGGGGGGCGGGTGCTCTGGGGGTGACATTTCTCTGCGGACCAAAATTTTCTTGCGGACTACCAGTGGGCCGTGGCCCACCAATTGGTGACTGCTGCTTTACAGAACCTGAAGCACATTTTGTTCCATTTAGAATATTTGCATTTGCTTATTTTTAATTGAAATGGCAATTAAACCTTGAAAAATTTGGATTTGTTTTATACATGGATGAGACTACTAGGGCTTATAATAGGTTGTGAGAATAATCTTGAGAGACAGGAGGAAGAGCTACAATTTGGACAACAGTACTTTAATCGGCTTGGTTTTCGTTTCCTGGCCCGGCCTATTTTGAAAGGCCATTCATCAGGATAAACTTTGGTAAGTCATTCTGTCTTGCTGCCAGGAAAAAAAAACACCTCTACATGGATATTTCCCTGAAATCACCAAGAACTGAAGAAGACTTTTAACATTTTTATATCGTAGAACATTTCAGCTAGCCTAGACTATGAGAAGTGTGGGACTGAATTCTCTTTGACTGACCAGTTTGATTGCTCTGAACATTTATTCAGCGCCCAATGGAGTATTGGTAACAAACATCGCTGCAATCTAACCACAAGGCATTTATCTTGAGATGTGGAATAAGAATGGTAGCAGGCAGAAATTTCTGTCATGCCTTCTCCGGTTCTGGTCTCTATATTGATGGGGAAGTCAACATTGAGATCTACCACTAAACATTTGGTTCATCCCTGGAATCTGAAGAAGGCAAAAGATCTATATTCTGCCCCATTATTTTTGTATTTTTGACACTGAACCTTGCATCAAGTAAATCTTTTTTCATAATTTCATGCATGAGTGAAGCTCAAGAGCCAAATATGAAGAACAAGCTGAGTGATATTACTTAATTTTTCTCTTTCTGACTTCTAAACAGATGCTAAATTCAGAATTCTGGATTTACAGTAAGCAAGGAAGAAATACACACACACACACACACACACACACACACACACACACACACACACACACACACACACATAAATAAATAAATAGAAATTTTGGGTCTTTGGTTTTCCATGTGATTTCCAATTTTCCATGTCATTTCAAAATCACCCTATGTATAAATGAAACAATACTCGATACCTGTATTTAGCACACTGTTTGCATTAACATTTGATAGGCCACATTTTACTTTGCCCATCATTGGTGTCATTTTGCTAAATAATTGGATAAAAGCCTATTCTGTACACATTGGAGGGGATTTCAAAGACCAATGATCTGTTTATCCCTGGATTACTTTTTTTTTTTAATAAAAGGCCATGTCAATAGATGTTGAATGAAAGCAAAGGAAAAGTCAGTTTTGAGTCCTTATTCTTTATTTCAAAAGTTTAACGTCCATGCAATTCTCTGCCTTTAGGCAACTGCATTTTCCCTCTCCTGCTAGTATAAGAAATCATGACCTTGGGAGTGAGAAAAGAGGGCCTTTGATTGGAACAGCCAATCTCAGTGAGCTTAAATACGAGGGCAGAAACTTTGAATTGTTCTGAGGGAAGAAAAAGATTATTTTTCAAGAGTAATGCTCACACCAGCCTATTGAACTGAACAGCTGGGATGCTGTGGTCTGGACTTTACTTGTGTCAGGCTGTTTTTCCTTCATTTCTAGCACTACCCGTATAGTATTAAACTACCCATTTTTTAATCTCCATTTATGAGACAGCCACTTAAGCACTTGACTTTGCTCTTTTGGGGTCAGCTGTGAGTCTTAAACCTGAGATCAGAGGTAACCAACCTTGGCAACTAAGACTTATGGACTGCAACTCCCAGAATTGCTCAGACAGGACGGGGAATTCTGGAAGCTAAAGTTCACAAGCTTAAAGTTGCCAAGGTGGGACACTCCTGCCTTTGAAGATGTTATGTATGTATGTATGTATGTATGTATGTATGTATGCATGCATGCATGTATGTATGCATGCATGTATGCATGCATACATACATGTATGTATATATACATGGTTTTGTAGATTTTCACACATACAGGTATGCAGGTCTTGGCATATTCGGGTCTTTTCCCGTGTAAGATTGAGAGTATCTTGGCGACGTTTTGACGAGGTCATCGAAACGTTGCCAAGATGCTCTCAATCTTTCACGGGAAAAGACCCGAACACGCCAAGACCTGCATATATATAAATATATACACATTTTCATCCTTTTTTAAAGAATAAATGTCTGTTTCAATCTGCCTGTGTTATTTCTTATTTATGTCACCGTAGGTACTTTTATGAGGCTGACTGAGGCAGTAGACTTTTAAGGAGTACGCTTGCTTATTGTGTGTTTCGCTTTACAACATTTCACTGTTGTAAAGCTGCCATTTCCAACAAAATCTCAGACTGCCTTGTTTTTAAAATATGGTGAAGCTCATCTCAAGCGGACATGGAAGCCCATCCTTCTGTTCCCTCTCGCTATATGAGATGTAAAAGGCCAGCTTCTGAGAAATGGAGAGTGTGGCTATTTGCTAGGTTTCTTTTAGCAGAGTTGAACCGAATATAAAATAATTCCTTCCCCCAGAAGGAATTTCCCCAGTATGGAATAACATCTTTAACCAAATAATCACATGGGGAGATCCACTTTGGTGTGGTTCAAGGTAACCTAGGATGGCTAGGAAGCAGGCATGGACAAATCAGTTCTGAAATGTTGCCCAGAAAACTCCCATAACATCATGAATCTGACTCAAAGGCACAT